GTCTCATTAAGAGACACAATGAACAGAGAGAAGTGGCAGCCTGCCCTTGTCATCAGTTATTTCTACATTTCAACATGAACTCTGTGCTGCCGGAGCTCCCTGGGCTGAAGCCAAGTGTTTATCCTGCGGGCTGCTGCCCTCCAGCCTTGGCTGCACAGATGGGCTTGTGTTCCACCTACAGCCCTTGCTTCATCCAGAGCCCAGGGAAGAGCATCCCTGCTCCAAAGTCATGGCCACAACTGCAGTGGCACTCCTGCAAACACCCATGTCCTGTGATGAGAAACACCTGTGGGGCTCCCAGGTCACCAGATGTGGTTTTCCTGAGCAGTCCAGGAGCCCCCAGGAGCTTGGTGTTCCTCAGACATGCCAGCCAGACATTACCCAACTGAATGGAGGCATGGAAAGCTTAGCAACATTCCTGCACATGGGATCTCTTAAGGGGCAACACAGCTTTTAGACATTTTCCTATCAAATGTGGCTCAGGACTGATCCAACGCCACCAAGAGGGTGGCTCATCCTGGAGCTTCTTGTCATCAAGGCACTAGAAACTCCCCTCCTCGCTCAGCCTCTTTCCAAGTCAAAGAGCAGCCATTTCAGAGGATCACCATCCTGCCCTGGCACTCTGCTTCTGTGGGATGTGAACTCCAACTCCAGACCAATGCACTCCAGAGTGCTCTGGCCACCGGAGTCAACCAGCCATCACCTCCACTCCTTTCAAAGTAGCAAAGCTGAGAACACAGATCAGCAGTGTCTGCAGCTCTGGAAAGGGGGGGGGATGGTCACTCCACCAGTTCTGCTTCTGCACATGGGCATTAGAAATGAGGAATTTGCTGCAGCAGAGCTTAGCAGAGACATTTCAAAACCAAGCTGCAACAGCTTCTCCCCAGAGAGGTTCTAACAGCCACACAGCAGCCACGTCCATCCTTCCCTGCCCAGGGCACAGGAGTGATAACACAACATTTGTGAAAGGATGATTGCATTCTGCTCTGTGCTGTGCTCAACTCCCAGCCCATGCTAAGAGCCCTGTGCAGCTCTGGGCACCACAGAAATCTGCTCCAGGGTTTGGATTTCCTTCCCTGACACTGCACACAAGAGTGGATGATACACTCAGAATGCCCCTACCCCAGGACTCCCACACATTCAGCTGCACCAAACCTCACCCAGGTGAGACTACAAAACCAGACAAGGCCAAAGGAAAGCAGGTTTGTAAGTTTAATGTGAATTCAAGTAGAGGCTCGAAAACCGTTTGGAAGCTGATACAGAGTTTTGAAGCAGGACTGACACCTTCACAGGGACATTGCAGCAGAGGTGGCTGGAGGTACGGGTTCCCTGGTGCAGTAAGCAGTGCTGACAGGAGAGCCAGTGAGGCCCAGCACCTCCCCGGGCACTGCCTCCTCCACTCAACATGTTCTGAGTTTCTAAGCACCAGAGACAGGAACTGAACCAAAGACACACCCCTAATTTTGGCCCTACCTGCAGCAAACTCCTAAGGTCCATTTCCACCTTATCCAGATAAAGTCAAAGTTCTACCTGGAAGTGTTTCTTTACCCAGTCCCAGCCTTCCAGCTGGAGGCAGGAACAGGGGAGGGATTATCTGTGCTTCCCTCCACTCCCCCCCAGATACAAACACCCTTTGACAAGATCCAGCTGATACTCTGGGAACACTGACAGACAACAGGAACCACACAGTTATTGCTGTACAAACACAAGGCTAAAGTCTGCTCGTTTCGAGTGTCCGAGTGGAAGGAAATGGCCTTGGCACACTGCCAGCCTATCCAGCTGAGCAGTGGGAGAGGAAGGAAGGCCAGTGCTTAAATTCACCTGCTGATACTGGAATCTATGGAATAAAAACATGTTATTTGCATATATAATTTCTCACCTAATTCTGTAATGCAGAAGCTTTCAGCTGCAGCCTTTGATTCAGCCAGCATAAAAATAAAAATCTCCCCGGGAGCCCCAGCTGTGCATCACCCACAGATCAGTCTGAAATCACCCTGAGCAAGAGAGCACTCCAAGCAGCCAGAGCCAGGCCCCCCAGCAGGCCCCCGAGGAAGATCTTCCCCTCAGGTATTTAAAGGAAGCACATGGTGTTGTCACATGCAGCCAGCACCCACAGGATTACTTTGGAGCAAAGCTGGACTGTGCCCTGCATCCACCCCCCGTGGCCTGAGCCTTAAATCCTGTCTGCAGCTGAAGCCAAGGGAAGCAGCTATGTCGATGCTGAGGGAAGTACAAGAAGGAACTTGGTACCAAACCAGTTATTCCTGGGAAGCAGCAGTGGTGAGGGACAGTCCTATGTGGCTACTCCTTCTGCATTACCAAATGCAAAAACTTTAGAAGTAGTACTGTGATCAGTGAAGTACATTCCTCTAATCCTCCCTTCTGGGAAATGATATATTATCATATACTCTCCTTAAATTTATATTTTAAATATATTCTGATATATATTCAGGATGGGGGAGTTCTCGTATGTACATGTGCTTTACACATACACCCAATGGACAAACACAGCAGACACCGTTTGTGTCCTGCGAGTGGAATCATCATCTCATCCCAAGTGCCATTGAAAAGGTCACATCAAGGAGATGGATTTCAAGGATCTCAGCTCCCGTGACCTGCTGCCACACTTGCAGCAGCTGTACCCTAAACAGGACCTTGTACAGAAAGATCATCACCCCAAGGCCAAAGGCTAATTCCCAACACAGCCACTACATCACCACACGTGCCAAGAGTCATTTCCCTGAATAAACCAGACTGAGCCACGGCCTGAGGATGCACCACCAGACCTGGGGGTCTCCTCAGATCAACCAGCTCGACTTTCCTCAGCTCAGTCTAGAGGACAACGTGACATCAAGTATCACAAACACTGGATCGATGTGTTGCTTATAATTAAAAACAAAAGCCCCGGCCTCCAGAGGCGGGTGACACCGTGACGCCCTCTCCGTTTCAAAGTGCATTTAAAGACCAAGGTGTAAACAACATCCTACCGAGAGGACAGGCGGGCTAAGCGAGGGGTTGCTAACTCTGGGTGGTACCTAGTGAGTGCCTGACTGCCACAGGGTGACTAAGGGGGCGCTGCGGGGTCTGCCCTCTACGGGTCACCCAGCGCCGGGAGGAGGTCGGCGATGCTGTCGACGTAGTAGTCGGGAACCAGGCTGTGTCGGCTGGGACAGCTGCTCTGCTGGTGGCCCCGCACCTCGTCCAGCGTGGAGACCCCGGTGAGCGTCAGCAGGGTGGTGAGGCCGCAGGTGTTGCCCATCAGGATGTCTGTGTCCAGCCGGTCGCCCACCATGAGGGTGCGCGCGGGGTCGATGGGGAACTCGCTGGCCACGCAGTCGAACATGTAGCGGTTGGGTTTCCCCTCGCTGAAAGCCTCGCCGTGCGCCG